TCGAGGATCATTGAGCGAACCTCGGGGGATCGAGGATCGAGCTTCGAGGATCGAGTCTCGGGGCTTCGAGGATCATTGAACGAACCTCGGGGGATCGAGGATCGAGCTTCGAGGGTCGAGTCTCGGGGCCCCACCCCCCCGGCCAGGGAGCCCACAGAGGACGCATCCGCCCAAGCGCGTGCACGAAGGCGGCCCCCCCCAGTCTGCAAGGCCAGCCTCGCGACACGAGCGCTCGCGCCGAGCGCACCGTCGAAGCCGAGGTGGATTCACGTGCGCGTGCGTCCTTCCTTCTGAGCATCGTTTATCCGGCACCCATCCCCCGCGGCGTGGCCTGGGCCCCACTGGCCGTTTTACCCCCCCAGATGTATCCCCTGTATAGGCTGTTCCCTTCGGGGCTTCGAGGGGCGCATCCCTAACTGGGGTGCCAACTTGGTGGGGGTCTCGAAGGGGATGGGGATGGGGATGGGGGTCGGTGCAACGACGCTGACCTTCGCTCCCGACTGGCGGCACCGCCTCTGGCTCGGGAGCGGCCAAGAGGCGGGTGTCCGAGAGGGGGGGGTGCAAATCATGACCGGCGGCACGTGCGCGGCCCAGCGGGGGGGGGCCAGGGACGTGATGAAACAAGAAGCGTCGCCGCGAAATCTGGGGACAGATCATGGCCCACGCCATGCTATCCCCCTCCCCCCTAGTCATCACCCCCCTCTGTGCCGCCCCCTGTTTGGACGCCCGAAATGGGTACCGAAAAACTGGGTACAATGCCCAACAGCAAATGTCGTCCCAAACCAACAGCGGCCGCTGTTGGGCCGGCGGCCTCCCGTCTCGAATGGACACAGGCCGCGGCGGCGTGGACAGCGAGCCCTGCTCAAAAGGAACAAGATCCGCTGTTCGGGCATTGCGCCCATTCTTTCAATACTCGGGAGCGGCCAAGAGGGGGGTGTCCAAGAGGGGGGGGGTGCAAATCATGACCGGCGGCATGTGCGCGGCCCAGCGGGGGGGCCTGGGACGTAATAAAATAAGAAGAGGCGCCATGAGATCTGAGGAAAAATCATGGCCCCCGCCATGATATCCACCCCCCCTAGTCATCACCCCCCTCTTTTCCGCCCCCGACAGACCCTGGCGCGCGCCGCGTGCCAGGGAGGGCCCACCGGCGCCGCCGCCGGCGCGCTCCGCGCGCCAGAGGGAGGGCCCGAGGCGCGCGGGCGCCGCCGCCGGCGCCCGGGCCGCCGGCGCTCCGCCGCTGGCGTTCGGGTCGGGCGCGTCCCCCCACAGGCGGCCTCTGGACGAACAAGTAAAACAAATACCCCCAAAAGAGCCGAAAATATTCAGCAGTGCTCCAAGATCGTGCCCCAGCTCTATATATATATATATATATATATATATATATATAACAAACAAGCTCGACTATTGTTTTTGATAACAAAAACAAACGAACTAGTTTTGAATACTCCTCCCGCAGAGGGGACAGGCCCGACTTCACGCTGGCGCTCCGCGCGCCAGGGGTTGGAGCCGGGGGCGGCGCCGCCAGGGGGGGGGGGACCCAGCGCCGCGCGGGCCGCCGGAAGGCTGCTGCGGAGGCCAGTCCACAGGGAGCCGTTCACGAGAAGCCCAACCCTCAGGCCCCAGGATCCAAGGGGGCCTAAGGACACACACAGATAAGTACACACAAAGAATTGGATTCCCCACATTTTCCCATATTTTTTGGATGTTCGTCTTCCCCCCGCTTCCCATATTTTCCCATATTTTCTCGGGAGTCGACAGTTCATTGTGTCTGTGTGTTTTTTCCCCTCGTGACAGGACGTCCCCCGGTTTTTGGTGTGGGGACGTCGCGCCGTCCACAGCAAGGCCATCGACGCCCAAGAGACCCAGGGCACCCTGGAGTCCGGAGGCGAGCAGGGCGTTTCTTGGCATGTAGGGCGACGATATCTATGCATATCCACTGCTCCTGGCCAGGCCCATCCTGGGCCAGGAGCAGTGGATATGCCTCCCTGGCCAAGCCAGGAGGGCGTATACACAGCTCTTGGGCCCAGGATTGGCCTGGCCGGGAGCAGTTGTATAGATATCGTCGCCCTAGCATGGGCCCCCGCTGCATGCTTGTGGTGACGGCTCGTCTCTTCGCACCTCGGCCTGGCCGTCCCTTTCTGCCGCGCGGCCCTCGGCCTGGTGGCGACGGCCCTCTCTCGGGTTCTCCACGCTCGTCCGGGGCGTGGCCCGCGGGCGGTGCCTCTCGCCTTGCCGTCCCCTCTCTGGGCGACGAAAGCAAGCGGGTCCTGCGCAAGAAGACATAGCCACCTTGCGCCGCTGCTTTCGCGTCCCGCCACCGTGGCACACCGCGTGGAGAAGAGGGCGCTGACGCGCAGCTTCACGCGGGAAGCTTACGCGCAAATGTCGGCGCAGTCGCCCCCATTTTCTTCCACCGCCGTTCCGGTTGCCCCGCCCCCCCTCGGCCCCTCCATGCCAGTGACGAACCCCCTCAGGTTCTCCACGCTTGTCTGGGGGGGAGGGGGGCGCACGGGCGGCAGGCAATGCTTGCGTGACTGTGGCGAGGCAGTGGGGGAATCTTTGCGCACACACGCCCACACAGTGGGAAACGGGGAACAGCGAAGGAAGGGAGAAGAGATCGACGCCCCGAGCAGAGAGGGATACATATGCGCCGACCCCCGCTGCCCGGGGTGAAAAGGCGTGTGAGACATTTGGCTGTCCCACCCCCCCAGTCCCCCTCCCCAAAATCGAGTTTGAGGGTGGGGGGTTGCAGGGGTACATGCTCGAAAACGCACCCTGGGGGCTCTCCGGAGCTTCTAAAGAGCCCCAAAACAGACCAAGAGGGCAAAGCGCCGAGACCGTTTTAGAGAGCGTCGAGACGGCCCAGGGTAACCCCGCGACGGTCCACGATGGCTACAAGACAGCCCACGAGGCCCCCAGGACGGCCGAACAATGCTCCCAGCGGACCCCTAAAGCGGCCCCAAGCCAGCCAACAGGTCCCATATAGTCCTCCCGAGGCCCCTAAGAGTTCCCCAATAGGCCCCAGGATCACCCCACGAGGCCAGCTCTGATTGGGGAACAGGTCACCCCTCGGGGGCCTCCTGGAGAGACTGCTGCAGCGTACGTGGGACGTCCTGGGCCGTTTCGGAGGCGTCTGGAGGCGATTCTGATGTCATCTTGGCCCGTCTTGGGCACGTCTTGGCCATCTTCGTGGTGTGCTGGCGCTGCCGGACGTCGAGATTGTGTGGCCGACGCCTCTCGGAGCCGAAGTGCCCCCCCGCCCCCGTGAGAAGCCTCCCGGGTCTTCGGAGAGGTGCGCGGGACCCCGGGGCGAAAGCGAGGAGCGGGGGAGGGGGCTCCTGGAAAAGTGTGCTGCCCCAGGGCCTGGGGGCCCAAACGCCGTGGTACTGTACGCGTGCACGCATATATATATATATATATATATATATATATATATATTCACACATATATATACATATGTACGCATAGACAAGGAAAAGAGAGAGAGAACACAAACAAAGAACAAGAGAGCGAGAGAGAGATACCGAAACAAGACAGAGATAGAGAGAGAGACAACAAACAAGCAACAAAAACAACAGAGAGTGCGATAAAGAAAAATAGAGAAAGAGGAACAGAGAGAGAGAGAGAGAGAGAGAGAGCATTTGGAGCATTTGCGCAGAACAGAGTTCGGGGAAGGAGAAAAGGAGGGAGGAGGGTGAGGCGTTAGCCAGCCACAAGGCTGGCCGACGTCTGGGCTGCAAGGATAAGGAGAAAAGAAAGGGGTCCGTCGGAATACAGAGAGGGGGGGGGCGAGAAGATATGATCCCCTTGCAGCTTGCATCGTGCGGCTGACGTCAACTGCGATGCTTTTGATATGTGCGCTGGCGTGTGTTGACGCTCCGTGCCACATCGTAGATCGCAATAGCATTGCGTTGAAACAAACACCTGATGACACGTGCACCGTCTACGACATGATGGAACGTGTGTCGTGGACAATCGCAGAGCACACTCGGGCATAGACAATGGTAGCACGCAGTGAATGGTCCAACCTGAGACGATTCAAACAACCTTTCCAACCAAAGCCCGGCATGTTCAACCAGGCTCTTCGCAAGCGTATCTATACCAGCAAGACAAGTTGGCACCCGGCACTGGAGAAGATACGTGTCTGAGCAGACTGGCCAGTTGCGGCGAAAGTGAAGAGCGCATGCACAAATAGCTTTGCCTGGACTGTCTCGATGGCGTGCTGAGCCTTAACACATCAAGAAAACAGTTGATGACCAACGAATAACATGCGAATGACATTCCGAAACGCATCCCGAATAGTACGGCTGAATGCCTGCCGAGAAGCAAGATGACTGCTGCAGCAGACACGGGAAGGCAGAACATAATAGGAGAAGCAGAGGGGGTCTACATCAAGGATTCAAGGGCCAGAGATGAGGAGGACAAAATAAGAAGACGGACAACGAACTGTGACCGTCAAACTGACAAGACAAGTTTGTCTCTCGTACATTAACCGGCTCTCTCGTCTTCCGCCTCCTCTTCTCTCATCACCCATCCCTAAAGCATCATCCCTCCCTTTCTCCCTTCCTCTATCCCCCCTGTCCTTCTATCACATCCCAGCCCACGATGTGTGACATACCACTACACACGCCACTCGGCCGTAATGAATGTCACAAGAGGACCCAGTGGCGTTGCCACACCATGAAATGGATATTGAATGCTGCAGCATGACAACCTTGAACTTACTGCACTTCACGGCACGGTCACGAGGCGCAACGACATCTTCGTCAAACTCGAAAAACAAAATTTGGCGATGTCTCAACTTTCCTCCGATTGGGGAGCGCCGCATACCTCGAAATGGTCATTGACACCAGCATACGAGATCACCGCCCCGCTCCAATAGCTCCACTGCAGTCGGGCAGCTTCACACCCCAGGGGAGGAGGAGAAACAAGAGGAGGAGCAGGAGAAGGAGGAGAAGGAGCGGGGAGGAGGGAACCTTACCGGACAAGAACGGAAAGCGTCCTTTTGTGTCCTGTTCGATATCCTACTTTCTTAGTGTGCGCTGCGCAAGTCTGTCGTGGCGTGCGTGCGTTTGCGCGTGCGCGTGCGTACGTGGAACCTGTGCATGTGCTTCCGTGCGTGGTGGCCTGCGGCGATGTTGTGTTGTGCCGTGCTGCTTTGCCGTGCTCCTGCGGTCTGCGTGAACGTATGTTGCCTCCCTGTGTGTGCGTGTGTGTGTGTGTGTGTGTGTGTGTGGTTGTGTGTGTGTGTGTGCGTGCGTGCGTGCGTGCGTGCGTGCGTGTGTATGTGTCTGTGTGTGCGTGTGCTTTTGTTCCTGTGTGTGCGTGCGCCTGTGTGCGTGTGCCTGTGTGCGTGTGCCTGTGTGTGCGGTTGTGTGAATAGATGTTCTGGGTGTTCTGCCGTGCTCCCGCGTGTTCTGCCGTGTTCCTATGTGTTCTGCAGTGCCCCTGCGTGTTCTGCAGCACTTGCTGCAGCCACCGATACCCGCTGCACCTGGCACCTCTAAGGACCGTGCTGCCCGCGAGCACCACATCACCCCACACATGGCCCTGCTCCCTCCTCTCCCCTCCTCCTTGCGTCGTACCTCCCGGGTGAGAGGCGCGTCGTTCACACCCCGCTCCGCTGCGCCACGTCGGCGCTACATCGCACCCTTCGGAACCCCCTGCCGCTCTCCGCGACGTAGCTCCCAGGATGGACGCGCGCCGCTCTTTCCCAGTCCACTGCACCATTTCGGTGCCTCTGCTGCGCACGCTGGGCCGCTCATGTGGTCGCCCTGCATCCTTACCCGGCTTCCGCACCCCTGGTGCCCCCCACCGCTGCCCCCTTGCGACGTGCCTCCCGGGTGAGAGGCGCGTCGCTCACACCCTGTCCCCTGCGCCATTGCGGCACTTCCTCGCGCCCCTCGGCACCCCCCCTGCCGCTCTCCGCGACACACCTCCCGGGTGGGACGCGTGTCGCTCTTTCTCTGTCCACTGCACCACTTCGGTGCTTCCCTGTCGCTCCGCGCTGGACCATCGGGTCTTGCGTTCTGCACCTGGCTTCTGAACCTCCCTGTCCCCTGCGCCTCTTCGGCGCTGTTTCGCCCACTGGGCCGCCCAATATCGCTACCTGGCTTCAGCACCTCCCGGTGCTCCCCGCCCCCGCTCCTCGCGTCGTACCTCCCAGGTGGGAGGCGCGTCGCCCGTTCACCGCCCTATGCGCCACTTTGGTGCTCCCCGGGCTCACCACGCTCGCCCGCGCGTGTGCCGCCCTGCTTGGCTACCCGGCCCCCGCACCCGTCGGTGCTCCTCTCTCGGCGGCGGCTCCGCGCCGCCTTTTCACTTTGCGGTGCTCTTCCGCCCCGCTCCTGCGGGCTACCGGGCCGCTGTGCCCGCCGCCTTCGGCACCTCCCTCTGCCCAGTTGCCCCCTGGCTGCCCTGGGCGGCCAATCCCCTCTTCCGAGCGGCCCGGTCGCGTCGCCGCTGCCGGGCGCCCCTCGTCCCTTCCGCGTCGCTGGTGCCTGCAGCCTGCGGTCGCCTGGGACGCTATCTTGCCTCCCGCCCCGCCCCGCCCCTCGGCCACCCGGCCTCAAGCGGTCACGCTGCAGTGTCCCTTTCGCTGCCCGCTGTTCGGTGCTCCCGCCCCCGCACGGCTCAGTGCTGTGCGTTCCATCGTGACGCCGCGGTCCGACGCAGCGGTGTCTCCTGTGCTCCCCCCAACCCCTGGCTGGCTGCCACTCCACGCCAACCTTGCCCCCGTGGCTCGCCACGGTCGCCCACCGCGCTTTGGCCCGGCGCGCCTGGCTGCTGCCGCCCGCCGGCTGCTCATCGTCGAACTAGTCGGCGTCTGAGCGTCCCTTCCTACTCGTCGGCCTCCCCCCTCCCTCCTTGCACGCTGGCCAATTCGCTAGTTAGTGCCCCTACCTAGCTGTTACGCTGGTGCGGATTTCGCCGCCTCGCCGCTTACGGAAAAATGCGTTCTGCCACGGTCCTGCTCTGCCGTGATCCTATGTGCTCTGCCGTGCTCCTGTGTGTTCTGCCGTGCTTCTGTGTGTTCTGCCGTGCTCCTACTTATTATGCCGTGCTCCTGTGTGTGTTGTGAAATCTGCCGCGCTCCTGTGTTCTGCCGAACTCCTGTGTGTTCTGCCATGCTCCTATGTATTCTGTGTATGCTACGATGTGCCTCGTGTTCCTTCCTGCATGGTCTGCTGTGCTCTTGTGAGTTCTACTGCAACGCTGCGTGTTCTGCCGCGTGTTCTGCCGTGCTCCTGCGTGCTCTACCGTGATCCTGTGTGTTCTGCCTTTGCTCCTGTGTGTGTTACGCCGTGTTCATGTGTGTTCTGCCGTGCTCCTCGTTCAGCCGCTCCTGTTTGCTGTGTGTGTGTGTGTTTTGTTACGCTCCTGTGTGTTCTGCCGAGCTCCTGCGTGTTCTGCCGTGCTCCTGTGTGTTTTGTGTTCTGCCGTGCTCCTTGTGCTCCTGCGTGTTAAAGTTAAAGTGAAAGACGGGGCCTTCAAGGCAAAGGGTGAAAAAAACACGGACAGAGCCAGACGGGACCCGCGTTCCCGAGAGACGCCGAGTCCCACGCGCGCACCGAGGGCGGCGGAAGCCTGCTCGCCGAGGGGAGCAGCTGGCGCAAGCCACAGCGATGCCAAACCTTCACTCACTCACGGTCGGGCCGCCACGGCGCGCCATGCGGCGGCGCACCCTGCGGTCCTCCAGGGCCTCGACTGTAGCGCCGGCCGCAGCGGCGAGCTCCTCCTCGGTGGCCCCGAAGGCTCCGAGGAGCCCAGTCCTCGCTGCGGCTGGGCGCCGCAGAGGCAGGCTGGCAGCGGCCGCAGCGTCGGCCGCATCCGCTGGGGCCTCTCCTGGGCCCGCTGCCACGTGCGGCTCCGCAGCTGCCGCTGGGGCGCTGCCTGCACTGCTCGCAGTGGCCGAGGAGTCTACAGCTGGCACCACTGCAGTGCCAAGCCGCTCCAGGTACCGCTCCTGCGCGTGCTCAGGCACTGGGCCCTGCGAGCGCAGCGCAGGGATGCCCTCTCCTTTCACTCTGTGCCTGGCAGCTCGTGACCCCTCCTGCCTCCTGCCTTTGGGATGCAGTCCTCGTAGCCACAGGCTGCGCTGGTTCCTGCCGCCCTTGTCGGTCTTGTCGCCTGGGCACCGCTCCTTGAGGCGAGGCCTGACCCCTGAGCGTCCGCCCAGCGTCATGTAGGCGCCGCACTTGGAGCATGCCACGAGCTCTTGGGTGCCCTCGCCTTCTCCAGCGCAGGCATAGGACAGGGCATGTCCCGGGATGCTGAAGGCTACTGCACTGGCCGAAAGGGCTGCCGAGCTGCTGCCTGTCGAGCGGGCGTTATCCAGGCGTGGCTGCTTGGCCATCGGCCCATCGCTCGCGGCATCCTCCGCTGCCCGAGACACCTCGGCGGCGGCGAAACGCCCCTGGCGCCGCTCAGCAGTAGGAGGGAGCCCTTCGCAGTCCCTGGCCTCGATGCCTGGCCAGATGATGGCGGCCCACCAGATCCAGCGCCCGAGCTCCTGCACGATCTCCGCCAGCGCATGGTGCACGCCAACTGTCAGCCTGTCCACCGCATGCATCTGGGCACCCATCTCGGCGAGGCGGTCGGCGTGCTCGTTGCCGCGCCTCTGAGCCTCCGTCAGGAGCCCGTCGAGCACTGCCTGCCTCGAACAGGGGGCTGGCACCTTCTTCACCTCGAAAGTGCCTGGCTCGAGGGCTGCCAGAATCCTGCACCGTAGGTGGGCGTTCGCCCTGCAGGGCGCGGTGGCGTGCGCACGCCTTCTCCGCAGGCAGCGCGCTGTGTGGCTGCAGTCGATGTTGACTTCCTCCACTGCTGGCCCCGTTGAGGCGGCGATCATCCAGGCTGCAAGGTCCTCGCCGTCCTTGGCCGTCTGCTGCGGGCAGAGGTCGCGCCAGACGATGCCGTAGACCCCTGCCACCAGGTTACCGTCGTCGCACTGCGCTATGGCCCAGCCCGCACCGCGCAAGGCGCCGACCTGCGGCTCGAGCGCCGAGCCATCGAGGTACAGCTTGCCGTTGAGCTTATCATCGGCTGGCCTGCAGACATATTGCACCCACATGGCGTCAGTGCGGCGACCCTGCGGCGGCTCTGGAGCGGGCGGCCAGCAACGGCCGAAGTTGTCGCCTGCGCGCTCGCCTGGGGCCCGCGCACGTTCTGCACCCCGCTTCAGCCGTGCCGACACTCCGTCGCGCCGCTGGGGCTCGAGCACGGGGCAGCCGAACAAGCGGTGCCACAAGGTGCCTCTCTCTGCTCCGTAACCGCAACAGCGCGCATGCCTCCGTTCACCTGCATCGAAGAGCCTGGCCTGCGTCCAGTGCGCGTTGGAGATGTAGGCCTCGAGCACGTTCTGCTCCCACACTCTGGGCCCGCTGTCTGGCCCGAGCAGGCGTCCGATGGCGCCCCAGTACAGCGGCCGCAGCAGGAGGGCGCCATGGCTGAGCTTCCGCATCTCGCGACGAACGGGCGCGCGCTGAGCGCCAAGGCCAGCCTCCGAGCCCAACTCCCGAGGCCCGAGGTGCATGAGGTCGAGCTCATCGCCGAGGTCCGTGACCATGCACCGCTCGGACTTGAAGTGCCAGCCGATCCGCGCACAGGTCAGTACCACCGCGTCGAAGGGGGAGGCGCAGTGCTTCCATGGCGTGTCAGCCCTTGCGTGTCTGGTGGCCGCCGCCTCCAGACCCCGCTCCATGATTCTGGGCGGCAGCTCGCCTGACTGCAGCAAGCCCGCCCTCCTCTGGACTGCGTGGCCTGCCGTGAAGGCTGCAGGATCCAGGTCACGCCTCCCCCTGAGCTCGGCACGGCGCATGCGCAGCCCTCGCTCCGCGCCCAACGGGGGCGCTCCTGCGCTGCGGCAAGCCGCGAGCCTCCTTCTGTGTAGCTCGCCGTCCGCGATGCCCGTGACCGTGCAACCCCACACCATGCTGGCCGCGGGCCCAGCCTTGTGGATCGGGTCCTCCTCCACACCAGCGGCTCGGAGGCAGCCCAGCCTGCGCGCTCGGCGAAACGCTCCTGCAGCTCGGACTCGGCCTCCATGTACTCCTCCCCTCGTGTTGGCGGCGTCCGTGCCGAGGTGCCTGGCCTGCAAGGTCTCGCGGAAGTTCCAGCCTTGCGACTTCCAGCGCTCGCCGAGCTGGCGTCAAAGACTGGGGCTCGAAGCGAGGAAGGTCGCCTTGGCAGCGCTGAGGGGAAGGTGCAGACCACGGCGGCTGCGAGCCACTTCCAGCCCTGCGTTGCCGAGCAGCGCGGCGACCCGCCGCTCCGTGCCCACGGCCTGCGGCGCGATGTCGTCGACGACGTTGCGAGCGACACCCCGTGGCCTGCCGCCCGCTGAGGCGGCGCGGAGGGCTGCCAGCACAGGCAGCTTGCCCACAGTGGTGGCCCACGCACACCCCGCCAGGACTGTCCCGTTTGCGCTGAACGACCCGGCGGCCAGGCCCATGACGGAAAAGAAACGCGGGCTCGCATAGAGCACCATGTCTCCGACGGCGGCGAGGAAGTCGAGGTTGACGCCTTTGGGCCCCAGGCCGTCCTGGAGGTGCATCGAGCACGCCAGCAGCAACAGGTCTGACGCAGCGGACGCTGTGGCTCCAGTCACGCAATGCCTCAGGTCGCTTGGGACCTGCCAGGCTATCACAGCTGCCTGCAGGTCGCTCCGAACCAAGGCTGCGGCGCCGCCTGAGTGCGCCAGCGGGCCCTCCTTGTCCGTGGGTGCCGACGCGTGGAGGAACGCCGCGTATCCCATGCGCCGCGCTGCTCCTGCGGCCTCCTCCAGGCGGTGCGGAGCCAGGCGGGTCTCCTGGAGCATCGCAAGGTGCGGCGGGGCCCAGCTGCGAGAGTCCAAGGCCTCGATCTCCTCCAGGCCCTTCCTCCATGCGTTGCCGTTGATCCCGAGCTCCTCCAGCCCGCAGCGCACATCCTGAGCTGCCGTCGCAGCTTGGCCTGGCGCTGGTGGGGCCTGCGCACTCCCGAGGTCGAGGGGCCGCTTGCCGCCGATGCGGGCCGCTTCGGCGCCGCCGCCCTCCTGCTGCCTAGGCTTCGCACCTCTGGCGTGGCTACGCGCACGCCTGCCGTGGCTTCTCGCCTCCGCCGCGACTCCCGGCGGCGCGGCCAGCAGGGCGAGCAGCAAGAGGGGCCAGGTCCTCAGCCTCGGCCGCCAGCTCCCGCTTGCACGCCTGGGCGACCTTCGGCCACTCGCCGTGGGCGTCGCCGCGACGTTCGGCCTGGCCGCGCTCCGCGGCGCACTGCGGCTGCCAAGGCCCGCTGCCTCCTGCGTGGTCGCAGTCCTCGCCGCTGATCTCGTCCATGGGGCGCGACTCCGCCCAGGGGGCTCTCCTCGGGACCGCAAGGGCTTCGGCGAGCTGCGCGCGCACCGCCCCCACCTGGGCGCGAATGGCCGCCCGCGCCACCTCGAAGTTGCTGGAGCCCCACGCCTCGGACGTGGAGCGCGCGGCTGGCCTCCTCCACCTCCGCGTCGAACTGCGCCAGCTCCTCCTGGGCCTTCTGCAGCTGGGCCTCGGCGAGGCCACGCGCCGCTTGCTTCTGCTCCAGGCTCTGGCGCGCCGCTCGGAGGCGCTTCTCCGCCTTGCTGATGGCGTTCGCCTCCTTGTGAAGCAGCGTCGACAGCGGCATGGAGGACGCCTTCTGCTCCGCTGCAGCCCGCTGGGCCTCGGCCAGCTCGGCGCGCTTGGCCTCCAACTGGCTGGCGACGACGTCGGTGAAGCAGCCATCGGCCCCGTCGGGCGGCTCTGCCTGCAGCGCCTCCAGCTGCTCGACCGCCACCTGCAGCCTCTCGATCGCCGTGGCGCCGCTGCCGCTGGGCGCCCCACTGTCGCACGATGCCGAGGCCTGCGGCTTGGAGGTGGCCGCGCTCGTTGCAGCGCTGCGGGCTCGCCGCTGGGCGCGGCGCCCGCGCGGCTGATCCACCCAGCCGCCCTTATCAGCCTGGAGCTTGGCCTTGGCTGCTGCTGCTTCCAGCGCCCGTGGCGGAGCGTGCCCGCAGCCAAGGCGCGTGGTGCGCCAGTCCCAGTTCCACCCACCGCAGCTGCACATCCAGCACGTCATGCTGCGCCTGCTGCCACCGCCGCCCCCCCGCGAGGAGCGCGCCATGGCCCTTGCCGCGCTGGCTGACAGGTCGCGCCTCCGCGCCGCGAAAGCAGGGGGCACAACGAAGAAGTGCACTGGCCCAAAGCGAGGAGACCCTCGCGCTCGGAACGCCGCGGACGACTCGCGGTCGTCGGGTGCTCCATGGCCTTGAGCCAAAATGGCTTGAGCCAAAATGGCCACGGATGTGCTACTGCGTGTTCTGCCGTGTTCCTTCGTGTTCTGCCTTGCTTCTGTGTGTTCTGATGCGCTCCTGTGTGTTCTGCCGTGCTCCTGTGTGTTCTCTCTCTCTCTCTCTCTCTGTGTGTGTGTGTGTGTGTGTGTGTGTGTGTGTGTTCGCCGTGCTCCTGCGTGTTCTGCCGTGCTCCTGCGTGCTCTGCCGTGCTGCTGCGTGTTAAAGTTAAAGTTAAAGACGGGGCCTTCGAGGCAAGTGGTGGCCAGAAACGCAGACAGGGCCAGACGGGACCCGCGTTCCCGAAAGAAGCCGAGTCCAGAGACACGCCCACCCGAGAGGGGCCACCTTGGGCCGCCTCTCAGCACGGGCCAGGGAAGGCGGACGGCAAAGCCACAGGCTCAGGCCCCCAACCCGCCCAAGCCAATCATGCAAGCACTGCGCGAACAAAAGCTACACATGATCACATCCCAAACTCGACTGCACTGCAAATACACAACGTGTACATTCAAATGCAGGAGGCATAGCTCACATAATCACCAGCTCGACTGCATTGCAAATACACACCGTGCACATTCAACTGCAGGAGGCAAACTTACAACCCAAACTCGACTGCATTGCAAATACACAACGTGCACATTCAAATGCAGGAGGCATAACTCACTGAACGCCCAGCTCGACTGCATTGCAAATACACAACGTGCACAACAAATGCAGGAGGCAAAACTCAGAGAACATTCGCTCACGACCCCAATCTCGCCGCACTTCGCCCTCGGCGTCCTCGGTCGGCAGGGCCAGCTCAGCGAGCCTCGCGGCAGCTCGACCGCCGTCTCCGTCTCCACGGAGGAGTGCGGCTTCGTTCTCGCCGAGGTAGTCCGCGATCACTCTTCTGAGCGCCGACTCAGCGGTGGCGGAGCAGGCAGTAGCCGCATCGCAGTCGGCATGCTCCTGTCCCTGGCCGCCTACGCTGTCGTCGTCACCGTCGTTGTGGCTGACGGCCTCGCCCAAGCGGCCACCGACGGACAAAAGCAGCGGCGAGGACACGCCAGCCGCAGGCACGGCATGGTCCACGAAGGCGCCGCGGTCGTCCCCGTCGCAGCCGCACTCTCTCTCGCCGTCGTAGCCCACGATGCCCAGCGCGCCCAGCAACAGGTCGTCGGACGCGGCCGCGGCGGCTGCCACTCTTCCCACTTGTGATCCTGACCTGCACTCCAGGAGCGCTGGGCGCGGCGGCGGCGCCAGGGCGCACTCCGTCTGCCAAGCCGCCAGGGGCACCTCGGAGGCCACCGGCGGGGCCGAGAAGACAACGGCACCACACGTGCACCGCGCCCCCGGTGGCAGCAGAGGCTCGCGCTCAGCCAGGTGCCACCCCGCCGCCAGGCCCGAAACGAAGGACACCGTCTCGGCATGCGCCTTGGCCCACATGCCTGGCGCCCACTGCGGTTCCGAGAGGGCCTTCTCCAGGTCCACAGCATGCAGCGCACCAGCGGGCAGTTCAGGAAGCGGGCCCGCCGCCCCCGCGCCTGCCAGTAGTGCGCACACATCCTCGTCAGGCTCCTCGTCCAGCCGCTCCCCTAAGGCACCGCCGAAGGCGCCCGCCTCGGGAGCCGCGGGCTTTGCGCCGAGCCTCGGGCCGTGCTGCGCCACGCGGAGCTGCGCGGCCCCAGCGTCCAGCAGGTCGATGCCCTCAGCTTCCGAATGGACGGCCACGTTCCGTCTCAGGCGCTCGACCGCACTCGGCACCTCCCCACGGATGAGGGCAGCCAAGGCAGGGGCGGCCGCTGCCAAGCGCCTGCCCAGCTCGCCGTCCGCGCCCGTAGCCCCGAGGGCCGCCGCCAGGTCCTCGTAGAGCCTGTGCCAGGCCCGCGCCTCGAGCGACAGGCGGTGCACGGCTGCCTCAGCCGCCGCAGCCGCTGCCTTGCGCGACTCCCAACGCTTGCCCGAGGATGGCCAGCCAGGGCCGCCGCTCGCATCAGGCCGACTGTCGCCACACGGGGCGACATCCCGCGCCATCGTGCCCAGACGCCCGCGCGCGCGCGCCCGAGGCAGGCATGAGCCAAAATGGCTACGGATGTGCTGCTGTGTGTTCTGCCGTGTTCCTTCGTGTTCTGCCGTGCTTCTGTGTGTTCTGTCGTGCTCCTCGTTCTGCTATGCTCCTGTTTGTTTTGTGTGTTCTGTTGCGCTCCTGTGTGTTCTGCCAAGCTCCTGCATGTTCTGCCGTGCTCCTGTGTGTTTTGTGTTCTGCCATGCTCCTCGTGTTCCTGTATGTTCTGCCGTGCTCCTGCGTGTTCTGATCTGCTCCTGTTTGTTCTGCCGTGCTCCCGCGTGTTCTTTGGGTTCTGCCGTGCTCCTGCGTGTTCTGTCGTGCTCGCGCGCGTTCTGCCGTGCTTCTGCGTGCTGGGCTGCCGTAATCCTTGCCCAGTTTCAGAAGATGCCTCAGGCGAAAAACTCAGTTTTAACACGTATGGTCTTACAACAGCCTTTTCAACATCTCATGTTTTCCAGGATGTCTCAGGCGATAGCTCCATTTCCATACGTGTGTCGGTTCTCATGGTCTGGCAGATGCACCCGGCGAAATGCTGGTGTTTTTGTGCAAGACGCTGCTGCGAACAACTCATGTTTTTAGGATGCATCGAGCGGAATGCGCATTCTGAGGAATCTCGAGGGCGCCCTCTCGAGAACCGAAAACGGACACTTCGCTAATCGACGTGTCACTGTGGGGGGCTCTGTCCGCCCCCGATGCTCTTGGGATGCCTCGAGCGGAGTGCGCACTTTGAGGCATCTCGAGGGCGCCCTCGGCCCGAAGGCGTGCCGCTGCCGCCCGCGGCGGCCGTGGCCGTGCTCGGCGGGCGCGTGTGCGAGCTCGGCGGGCGGGCCCCTGGGGCCCGCCGCGCTCCTCTCGGAGGGAGCAGCCGGCCGCCCGTTCGGACGCCTCGGCCGTCCGCGGGTGGTGCCACGCACGCACACGCACGCACACACACAGACACACACACACATACACACACACATACACACACGCACGCACGCACGCACGGCCACAGCCACAGCCACAGCCACAGCCACAGCCACAGCCACAGCCACAGCCACAGCCACAGCCACAGCCACAGCCACAGCCACAGCCGCAGCCACAGCCGCAGCCACAGCCACACACACACACACACCTACACACACCTACGCACACCTACACACACCTACACACACCTACACACACACACACCTACACACACCTACACACACCTACACTCACACACACACCACACCTGCACACACCTACACACCTACACACACCTACACACACACCTACACACACCTACACCACCTACACACACCTACACACCACACACGCGCACACACTACACACACACACACCCCTACACACACCTACACACACACACCTACACACACACTACACACACTACACACACCTACACCCCACACACACCTACACACACACCTAACACACCTACACACACCTACACACACCTACACACACCTACACACACCTATACACACACCTACCACACCTACACACACCTACACCCACCGACATACACACCTACACACACCTACATACACCTACACACACCTACACACACCTACACACCTATACACACCTACACACACACCTACACATACACCTACACACACCTACACACACCTACACACACCCCTACACACACCTACATACACCTACATACACACACCTACACACACCTACATACACCTACACACACCTACACACACCTACGCACCTACACACACCTACACACACCTACACATACACTACACACACCTACACACACACACACACCCCTACACACCTACAAACCTATACACACACCTACACACAACTACACACACCTACACACACGCCTACACACACACCTACACCCACACACACACCTACACACACCTACACACACCTACACCCACCTACACACACCTACACACACCACACACACAAACACACCTACACCTACACACACCTACACACACCTACACACACCTACACACACCTATACACACACACCTACACACACACCTACACACACCTACACACACCTACATACATACACCTACACACACCTACACAAACCTACACACACCTACACACAGGCCTACACACCCTACACACACCTATACACACGCACCTACACACACGCACCTACAAACACACCTACACACACGCCTACACACACCTACACATACACACACCGACACACACCTACAACACACCTACACAAACCTACACACGCGCCTACACACTTCCTACCACCACCTACACACACGCTACACACCCTACACACACCTAACACAACCTTACACAAACCTACACACACCTACCACACACACACACACACGCACACGCACACACAGACACACACCTACACACACCTACACACCTATACACACCTACACACACCTACACACACCTACACACCTACATACACACACACACCTACACACACTTACACACACCTACACACACCTACACACCTACACCACCTACACACACCTACACACACGAACCTACACACACCTACACACATACACACACCTACACACACCTACACACGCCTACACACCTACACACACAAGCACACACCTACACACACCTACACGCACGCCTACACACACCTACACACACCTACACACACCTACACACACCTACACACACCTACACACCTACACACACCTTCACACGTACACACACCTACACACAACACCCTACACACACGTACACACCTACCGCACACACCGACACACGCTACCACACCTACACACACCTACACACACCCTACACACACCTACACACACACAACACCTACACACACCTACACACACTACACACACCTACACAGCCACCTACACACACTACACACACCTACACACTACAACAACATACAACACCTACACACCCCCTACACACACCTACACACACCTACACACACCACACACACCTACACACACACACTTACACACAAACACCTTCACCCACACACACACACACCTGCACACACACCTGCACACACCTGCACACACCTACACACTTACCTACACACTTACCTGCACACACCTACACACACCTACACACACCTACACACACCTACACACACACCTACACACACCTACACACATACACACAACACCTACACACCCACACACGCCCACACACACACACCCACACACACACATCCACACACACACCCACAC